AAAAAAAAAAAAAAAAAAAAAAAAAAAAAAAAAAAAAAAAAAAAAAAAAAAAAAAAAAAAAAAAAAAAAAAAAAAAAAAAAAAAAAAAAAAGATGTGTTATATCTACGGAAAAAGAGACGCAACATGATAATACCTCAGTACTTCTGGTCAGGCGAGAGAAAGCATGACAGGGTTCGCCCGGCAGAGCTACACAACGGACCGCTCGCGGGCGATCAATAGTGTAGCAATCCCCGGCCGCTCATTTGCTGTCAAGCTCCCCACTGTCGCCCTCCTCTCCTTGGCGTGGATGTGCCTCACCTTTGCAACAGCCGCGTCTGGCGACTTGGAAATCCCAACACATCCCCCGTTCGTCCTACCGTGTTGATAGACAGGATAGGCCCGGTAAGCTAGTCTCACTGGTCGTCAGTTGTTCAGGATAAAGGCTAGCAACCCTAGAAATAAAAAATCTCGAACCGATCAGTATCCGGAGTAAGACATAATCGGGAAAGTGAACGATCTCAATGGTTCATGGCCTCGAAACAGGTCTTGGCTACTTTAGTCCAGCAGACCTCTTCCTGTCTTATCAAAAAGGTAGATACCAGTGAGTTGTCTTCCCCCATCCATGACCCACTCCACTTTGACTCTTTTCTTAGCATCAAACGATGCATCCTCTGAATCTCTCATGGAACATCATGTACTTCTGTACGCCTTTACCCCTGAAAAAGTGGATTCACCTCCAGGTTGAAACATGCAAGACTCTGTTGCGCGCTGGTGCTGTTGGATGGATGGCTGACACGACTTAAACAGTAATTTTAGGTGCCAATATTGAACTAGACTCATAGCATCACTGACCACAAGAATGTTGGCTATGACTCTAGGTAATTCCTCTCTGTCGGTTTCTTCTTCTCTTTCTACATTTCACCTTGCCTTCCTCGTTTTGGTTCAGGCAAAATTAGTACAGGGGCGAGTAAGGTTAGAAAGTAGGGAACATGCTTATGTGGGTACTGGGCAGGTAACTAACTATACTGAGGTAGTGCAGATTGTAAAGTGCCTGACGTATCGATTAACATGGCCAGTGCTTTCCGTATTTGTTACAAGATTGTATTTCAACATTTCTCGAAATGAAAGTAATTGTGGTTTCCAAAGTTCGCCGTCGACAAACTGTGTCCGATCCCTCATTGCATTCTCTGCCTTTTTTTCTTGATTCTGTGGAACATTGAATTCTCTCGCATGACACTGAAGTTTCACTGCTCAGTGTCTGATGGAGCGAGCCCCGCTGTCATTGAACGATCAATCGGGTTTGGAGTCGCTGAACAGAGGGTTTTTTTTATTTTTTATTTATTATTTTTTTTTCTCCTTTTCTCTCTCCCTTACAGAGGGATAACACTGGCCTATCGTATAACTACAGTTGTTATGAAAAGGATACAGGAGCTAAAAAGATCGTGATTTAGATACATATGACGATGGTGAATGAGGAATTGAATGTACTCTGAAGGCGTGACTTTTTCCCTTCTCCTTACCTGTCCGCTGCTGTGACGGGCCGGGCCTTCATTTCGGAACCGCCCAAACTCAGCCATGACCCGTGGATCTTACAGGTGATTTCCCCAACCCCTTTAGGTCACGCTAATTTCATGGAGGCAGAACTTTTGACTTAGTACCAATCCCAACTTAATAGGGTCTTGAGGTGAAGCCTCTTAGAATTCACACCGTGCTCCAGCTGAACCGTGCTCCTCCACTGCGAGGGATGCTGGTGCCAAGGAGCTATACCAACTACTCCGTACCATGTAAAACACTTATTCCTGGCCTCATCGATCGTGGACAGCGACCACTGCGTTCCCGACAATGTGGGCCCGAAGCCCAAGGATCCCCTAGTGAGGATCTATTGGATTAGACTGCGGCAAAGTTCAAACCTACTTACATACAGTAACCTTACTGCACGGGCTGTAGGTACCAGCCAGCCAACCAGACATACCTACATAAGCAGGCATACTTGTGGATACAGGGCTGTTATCCTTTTTCTTATTTCATTCTTCCCTTTTTAGGGAAAATGCATGGATGAATAAGAACTGAAATCTAAGAATAAAAATGTTATAACAGAAGAAGAAAAAGAAAAGCCCTATCCGTCGCGTTTTCAGATCGGGTGAGGGGAGTGGTGACTCGCACATCCATAGGCACAACTATCGATATCTCAAACATGGGATCTAAAGGAGTTGCGAAAGCTGACAGTCGTGAGATGTATCACATTTATGGTTTCATGCAGTGTCAGGAGATAAAAAATTGAGATAATCCGTGACATCATAGGAACTTCTACTGCCCGGATTTATGTGTCTTTGCGAATTGGAGATTCATTCACAGTCTTTTTCTTTTTTGGTAAAAACAGCATATGTTCGGGGATTCTTGTTTTTGTTGTGCGCAGGCAGTAATTAGCATTGGGTACTTACTACTACTCCGTATGTTCTAGATGTCCATTTCCGTGAAGTCCCGGGATCGTGAATGATGGTTCATGCATAGTCTGCATGTATGTACCATGATGATACATGTTAAAGGTATGTGAACACAGCAGCTTAGCTCACGCCAGTCTAGAGCTAGCCGAACCTGACCAGCTCCGGATTTGTGAGGATTATTAGTTACCTAGATACTAACTAGCAGGCATGCATGAATAAGTTTAATCATGGTAATTCATTCTGTTACAACAGCATTCAAGTCGTCTGTCAAAGGATCCAGCAGCTCCTGAAGACAGCCCCAGTGCCTGCCCCCTTGGTCCATTTACCCGCCAAGACACACCAACTCTGTTCCACCTTCTTCCCCCTTCCCGAGCGAGATCCGCCAGTCGATCATCACGGCTCCTGCTCGGGAAAAAGAAATGAGGGAAAAGAGAGCCCGGGGGAGAAAGTCAGATTTGACACCCCACGGCGATATAGGCGCTGGCTGGTGCCTGCTTGCAGCACGTAAGGCATGATGTAGGTCGATTGCCCAATGCACACCCTTCACCACCTCGTGATCGCAGGGGGCTGCTTGTCAGAAGACGCAGGAGAGAAAATCGCGTCCCATCAATAGCGCCGACTAGCACTGCCCGGGTCTGTGACAAACACCAGCCGAGTGGAATTCGACTCGTATCGCGCCGGTACCTTAAAATGTCACATACGTGACCATGGTTTTGCCTCGACTTACAGAGGGAAGTTTTCCTGAACTTGCAGTTCACAAACATTTCTACTTTTCTATGTCATTACAATATTTCAGACACAAAGAATGGATTAGTTGAAGAGAAAGAAAGAGAGAGAGAGAGAGAGATATATATATATATATATATATATATATATATATATGTAAAGGCTATAATTATAGAGCTGATTGCGAGGGGGGCTTTGGGTTCACGTTCACATAATTTAGCTGCTGTGTCAAGAGGCAATTGACTGGATACTAGTACTGCCGACTTGGGAAAATCACGCCTTGATCTGTTGGGTAAATACGGGCTGGCTTACTTACTTTACCACTAAGGTTACGTGACATTATCCCCGAAGGAGGAAGGAACCATCGGCCACACCGCATGGACTGGAAAATCAGGAACGGGAACAACTGACGGGGCAGTGGAGCAGGTGCGAATGGATCCCCGGAATCGAGACATTAATTCTCTAGTCACTTATTAAGTAACTATTAACTAATCCACTAACTAACCCACAGTAGGTATCCCTACTAACTACCTGACTAGTAGCTGGTTATGCCTGTGCCATCTTTTACTGACCTATAACTAATCTCACCTGCTGGGTTGTCCCATGCCAATGCAGTATGTCGATTCCCATCACACCGCGGGCATAGCCCAGGCAATGGCTTTTTCCGGGCCCTTACCAAGCCTCGTTTAAGTCGACTGAGATGGACATTTCGAGTGGGAACAGTCCCAGAAACCCACAAGGAGGAGCCATTTAGTTGGAGGATCGTCATCCGCAGGCCATCCAGATTCCAGAGCTCCTTCCCCCCACTCAATTCCTACCAACTACGTACTCCTCCTACTACTAAGCACGATGGAGTACAGCCCTGGGTGATCGTGACTTTACCGATTGCTATCCGGGATCTACCTGCCTTGCTTGCCCTCAGATCACTGGAGCCATGCCCGGTCCATACCTCGTACTCACTGCTTATTCACCTCTACGGGTTTATGCCGTTTACGCGAAAGACGACGAGACGAGATACGCAGGCATAGCATAGCCATGGCGATGCACGCTTTCAATCTGAATAATCGAGGGCTGTCACTCTTCATAGTATAGTATGTAGAAGGAGCTTTGTGCTGACCGTCTTGCTACTTGCTAATCACAATCCAAATGTCTTGTGCCGAAGCAGATCCTGAGATCCTTGCCACATCCCGATATCCAACTCCATTTAGCTCAGATGCTGACGGAAACCTATGATCTTCCTCTGGTGGTGGCGGCTATGCCAGTGCCTCAAAAATGTCCGGTACACCTGCTGTGCTTACTTAGCCTTCCCGGAAAAGTCCGTGGGCCCGACCAACTAGATAGGTATCGATCTCGCTTTAGACCCATAGATCCCCGAGTGGATTCCCTACGGACCACGGAGTTTATATATTCTCGATATGGGAGTCCAATGCGATGTACGCCGCTACTGCAGTTCTTCGTAATGCGAGAACATAGGTCCGTGACCAATTCAACAACTTGCATCCACTACCAATGCTAGTTCAATTCCGAGAGATTGCATGGCAGCCTATGCCCCTTAGTGACGGCACTGCCAGCTCTTTTCCTGGATGTCCAAGACAATCATAGTTTTACGATCATGCATTTATATGCATGGTGACCGAATAGCGGTGCCGACTGCTGATTTCACCCCCCCGCAACGTGCAGGTGCCCGTAATGGGGACTACGGATATCCCGATTGAAGGTGATCTTACGGGTATAGGTAGCCAGAGAAGTACATCCCTGCGCTCTTAAATGGCTACTTTGTCGGAGCCAGCAAATCATGTGGACCATGAAGTCAACTGAAGCATCGGGAGGGGGTGATTGATCTTCTAGCCGACTACAATATGCCGCAGTCAACAAGCCCACTGGATTATCATTATCGTTGTCTCTGCACGATGGCAACCGCTAAGGAAGCATCTGCCCCCCACCGATCATCACACTGCTCTCGTGACAATTGCATTCAGCTTCCTCAGAATAAATTCACAACCACAAAATCAGCGCGAAATTACTACCAGTACAGCCTTTTTATTGTATTTTGTTTTCTTCCTCTTTTTTTGTTTCGCTTCGCTTGTAGCAGTTCGTCTCCTTTGAAAAAAACCCCCCAAGGTCACTTCCCCGTGCATGGGAGCTGTGACAATAAAAGCAATTGGCCTTTTGCAACGCAAATCCCGGTAGTGACGTCGAACAAGACGCGACAAGCAGAGAGAATCGGAAACGGAAGATTCGAAAAGAAGAAACATAATTCCATAATTGCGCCAAAACTTTCCCAAATCATTCTCATCACCGTCCAGTGTAGGTAGAGTATCTGTTCGAGCGACCTTGTCAACAATGCTCATGATAGAGAAGAAGGAAAAAGAAAGCCACCAGGACAATCAATGCCTTGTAAGCTAGTAAAGACGTACCTCCAGATTCTTGCCCGCATGTCACCACTGCCAGTGGCAAACAGGTTATTAGTAGGGCTGGGCGCCACGGAGATGACTGTCACCGAGTTAGCGAAAACCAAGATCACCTAGCAAGCCAGACATGGTGCTCGGGGGGTTTAGGTACGAACCTGAGTTCTTGTGTCCCTGGAGCATCATCTGCGCATTTCCGGTGATGGGGTCCCAGAACTGAACGCCTCGGTCTTTAGAACCGCTCATGACCCAATGTCCGTCGGGTGTCAGGCAGACGCTGAGCACAAAGTCCTAACCCGTGAGGTCAGCAACCACGAAACCAGTATTGGTCTTTTGCTATCGGAAAGTATGTACTTACCTTGTGACCTTCGAAAGTGCGGACGCATTTACCACCCTTGACTCCGCTTCCGGGGTAGGCGCCACGGGGCACGTTGAGCTCCCAAAGTTTGATGGTCTTGTCCAGACTACCACTGACAAGGTCCCGGCCGTTGGGGGCGAAGGCAACCGAGTACACGCTGTCCTTGTGGCCATCGGGGCTCTCCAACCGTTCCACAAGGTAGCCGGTAGTGGTATCCCAAACTCGCACACTCTTATCGAGAGAGCCTGCAGCGACATAGTGACCATCTGGAGACATAGCAACGGTGGTCACACCGTCTTCGATGCTCAGGGTGTAGACCAACTTGCCGTCCAGGATATCCCAAAGGCGAACAGTCTTGTCTCCACTACCGGACGCAATGTACCGACCATTGCCAGCGAAATCAAGAGAGTAAATATCCTGTTCGTGACCGGTAAAGATATGCTTAATCGTCCGAGCATTGATGTCCCACACCTAACGGTAAAAAGAAGAAGAAAAAAAAGGTTAGCCTCAACAGTTCTGTATAACAGCGCACCAAAGCGGCATCAACGATGACGAGTGATGTTACAGCGGGACCACATACCCGAATCTGCTTGTCTTCAGCGCCAGTCGCAAGATACTTGCCATCAGGGCTGAAGCAGACGCTGCGAATGTAAAGGTCGCCGTTCTTGTCCACATTTTCGTCCTGCAGCGTCGCAACATTCTGACCCGTGGTCACGTCAAAGATCTGCGCAGAGCGATTGCAGCCGGTCGCAAGGTACTTGCCGTCACGGCTGAAACGAACACAGCACACAACGCTGTCGTGGACAAGGTGATGAACAAGTTCCACATCCAGCACGCGCTGCACCTCAGGATTGAACACGGCATACCAATCGGCGCCCTCTCGCTTTTGCGACGCCGGCAGATCGTCAGGATTCCAATTGGCCAGCATGTTTCCCGGACGATCTCGCACGAGGGCCTGGCTAGGAGGCGTGGGGCGGGCCAATTGCGGCGAGGAGACGCGGGGATCGGATGTGTAGGCCAGCTGGTGGGTCTGTTGAGGAGTGGCCGGGCCGGGAGGAGCACGGGGCCGCTTGCCAGGGCCGGGGGAGGCAGCAGGAGGAGGGGGAGGTCCATAACCTGTTTAGAGATCGAGGCGATCACGAGGTCAGAGGTCAGGCAATTTGTCTATCAAACATAGTCATAACATACCGTTCACAGCAGCACCAGGCTGATATCCTCCAAAAGAGCTCTGCGGTGGTTGCGGCGCTCCTTGCTGGGCCGCGGCAGCAGGCTGTTGAAGGGTATGCTGGGGAGGCTGCTGATCCTGGGGAGGGGGAGGGGCAACTGGAAGACCGGGGCCACTACCTCCTTGGTTGGTCATGATGCCACCAAACAGATTGCTAGGGCCGTGACCCAGGGCCGGTGGCGGAGCCTGAGAAGGTCCAGCGTGCTGGGCCGGGCCGGCAATGTGAGATGACACGGGCTGAACACCGCGCGATTCAAGCTCATGTCGCAGCACCCGAATCTCTGCTTCGTAACTACAACAATAGATAAGGCGTTAATTCGGCTATGGGGTAGGATGAGCCGCCGGGGCTCAAGTCACGTACTCTTGTTTCATCTTGAGTTGTGCCTGTTCCAGTTGATAGACCTTCTGGCGGATCATCTCCATCTCTTGAAGCTGTCCGGTTACTAGGGACGGTAGAAACCAAGGGTCAGCAATATACACCAACGGCGGGAAAATAACGTTAGATATAACAATTGACGACACAGGATGCTCTCCATTGCATTGAAACTCCGGAGTTCACCCGTACGCCGTTAACCTGCGCCACAAGGTGCAACCCAACGGAAACGCGCCGTAACAAGCAAGCCCCCCGTCGCAAAGCCAATCCAAAGAACACAAAGGACCAGGGAAATATCAAAACATACGCTGATGTTCGAACTCGCCAGTGCTTCGAGACTGATTCTCGAATTCCTGGCGCAGTTGGTCCAACAACTCCGTCAGACGGGAGTTGGGAGCCGGAACCATTCCGCGATGAGTGTTATACATAGCGCGAAAGATTTGTGTCGTTTTAATCCCGTGTTCACTTGAACAACGATAGAGGGGGTAGACAATCCGAGCAACGAGACGTGGAACGAAAGTCGCTTGGGTGGAAAGTCAGTGGTGGTGGTGGGGAAATTGGTTGGTGGTCGACCGAAGGGGTAACTAGTTCAACGGCAAGAGTAATCCGCGACTCCGGGAGAAAACAAGAAAATATGGGCGACGGGAGTCGCTGTTAGGCGACAGAGACTGGTGTGAGGAAATCGATCACCGCAGCCGCATCACAGCGCGCCCCCTGAGGACTCGGCGCGGCAACGTGGTCGGAAAGGGGAAAACAGCAGAAGAAAATGAGGGGAAAGGATGTTGAATGAGGATAAATGCGCGTGGACGACGATCCGGGGCGGACGATGGATGAAAGGCGAGACGATGAAAGGACGACAAGGGAAGAGGGGAAGGAGGAGCAGAAGCTGAGGCTGAAGGAGGAGGAGAGCGAGATGAAGTGACAGTTGAAGGTCCGTTCAGTTCAGGTTCGAGTTCGTTAGTCTTTCTTAGGTAAGGTTCCTCCGGGTCACGCTCGGCTGTTCCGGGTCCGGAGAACCACCGCCACCCAATGGACGTGCCCGTTTTGCCGCCCGAAGCGAGCCCATACTATCTACATACTACTATGTATGAGTTTGAAATTGGAAGTATATACTCAAGTATAAGCTCAAATACATATGGTTCTCGTAGAATAGCGGAAAAACTCACAATTATTACACAGTAGTTTCTACTATATTCTGGGGTAAAGCTGACTAACTCACTGTCGAGAGAAAAGAAAGAGTACGGCGCTTAGTGTGACCGTATTAAACATAAACTTCTCTCCCAAATGCAGCCATAGCCGCCGCAATACTGCAACAATACAGAAAGGTTTGCAACTTGCAAGAACGTACTGAACCATACCATCCCGTGACCTTATCAGATCAACCGGAATTTCTTATTCTTCCCAACAGACCATATAACGTTGGAACCTTCTATTGTTCCTTTCGCGGTTATTAGATGAAGAACTTGGTAACTACTAGGGAAACTCAACGATATCAGCTCTCAATCCATCTACTTTTAATTGCTGAGAGTACTCCACAGTCTACATATGTTTCAAATATAGACAAAACTATACATGTTATCTCTAACATTACTCAGTAACTACTTGGTAGACCATCTCCACCCTTTCTTACGACAAATCGGACGGAACGGCAGGTCTGGTTCCGCCTGGTGTGATCCTCACGGCCATCTGATAGGCTCCTCCTACTCCTCCAAAACGCAGACGACTGCCATTCTGCAAATTATATTACTTAAACTTCTTCATCTTCTTCTCTTGGTTCTTCACCCCTTCCTTTCTTCCACCTATTCTTCATCTCCTCTTCCATTTTACATTCCTTTCTTTCCCCCCTCTTACCCCCTATACATTGCCCAAGCTTATAAGTAGTACTTACCAACAACCACTACTGGCTGGCACTTCAATCATTTTCTAACTTGTTCCTCCCCCCTACTACCCACTCTCCTCCTCCCCCTTTCCTCCGCCAACCACATAACCTCTTCCCGCGATTGCTCAACGCCTTGTTCCGCAACAACCCCCCTCGAATATTGTATTCTCACACGCCCAAAACCCAGCACCATGGATATCGCCCTCGAAATTTGGGACACCTTTATTGGTGATCGTCTATACGCCTCTCTACTTCCTCTCTCTCTTGCCTCATCCGCCTCGCTCCCCGGCTTCACTACTGTCACCAACAGCACCCTGTCGTTCTTTGGTGCAACCCAGCCCTTCGTTTACGAACCGGCTACTCAATTGATCTACTTGGAGCCTTCCAAGTTTGCCTATCTGAGCGCCTGGCCAAGGAACAATATCTACCGTCAATTCCTCAGTTTCTTCTTGATCGTCTGGTATGTGCGCTTGTGTTCATTTTTCTCCGGTGTTGTCGCCCCCTCCAATCTTTCCTTTGGCTAACAGGGTGGGCGCATTGTTTGCGCCTGGATTAGGATCTTCGGTATCATCGTCTACTTCATTTCCGCAAGTCTATCCTACATCTTCATCTGGGACAAGACCACCGTTCATCACCCTAAATACCTCAAGAACCAAATTCCTATGGAGATCGCCCAGACTATGCGCTCAATGCCGGTTATGTCCCTGTTGACTGCCCCTTTTCTGGTCGCCGAAGTCCGTGGTTACGCCAAGCTTTATGATACCTTCTCCGACGAGCCATTCCCCTACTACAGTATTATCCAATTCCCGCTATTCATCATGTTCACCGATCTCTGCATCTACTGGATTCACCGCGGCCTGCACCACCCGCTTATTTATAAGACCTTGCACAAGCCTCACCACAAATGGATTATGCCTAGTCCCTTCGCCTCCCACGCTTTTCACCCACTTGACGGCTGGTCGCAGAGTGTCCCTTACCACGTGTTCCCGTTCATCTTCCCGCTCCAGAAGCTGGCCTACGTCTTCCTCTTCGGATTCATCAACCTCTGGACCGTGCTGATTCACGACGGCGAATACGTTGCCAACAGCCCGGTGATCAATGGAGCAGCCTGCCACACCATGCACCACCTGTACTTCAACTATAACTATGGCCAGTTCACAACCCTCTGGGATCGTCTGGGAGGCAGTTATCGCAAGCCCAACGAGGAGCTCTTCCGCCGTGACACAAAGAATGGCGAGGAGGAATGGAAGCGACAGACCAAGGAGATGGAAACCATTCTCAAGGATGTCGAAGGCGATGATGACCGGGCGTACCTGGCCGATTCACAGACCAAGAAGAACCTGTGAAGACGACAATCATGACCACTCAAAAAGGGACCTTTTCACGCAGGTTATACGAGATTGTCTCTGTTACCGGGCCCAGACTTCATATAACGAGTTCATGGCTTCTCCCTAATTTTCGACCTTCTCACGCTACGCCGCCCTGACTACGTCTTGTATAACACGGATTCTAGTATATTAATTGTTCCAGCCACCTTTATAGACGTGTATTTTAATTCAACCCTGAGTCACTGGTTATGCCCCTGCTTCTGAAGGAATACCGGAATTGTACCGGCCAGTTGTCTGTTTGGTTTGTTTTTTTCTTGTCCTTTTGCTTTGTACATATGATCAATCGACGGAAAGGGGAGCGGAGGTTTCGATACTCACATTCTAATCATTTCCTGCACTACGCTAAATATAGAGAGGTGTAGATACAACACCTAATGGAAAGGCAGCAGGAAAATCCCAAAAAACTCGTGTTAGCAGAACATAACGAGAAGATTCAATGGAATAAAACAGTTCCTTTCTTTTCTTTTCTCTTCTTCTCTTTAGTGGTTTTATCAGAGTCTTTTTGCTTTTTAGTTTGAACGCCCTCACCCGCTGAAATTGGTCGAGATAAAAACAAGTGCCACAACCTAACTTATGTATGTATACAGAAGGGGGAAGAGAATAAATATTAGAAATCCTGGAACTGAAAATTGAACATCTCCCGTCCCTAGCACATCTGAGCCGATTAAAGCCAATCAAATTCCTCCCCCGCTCATTCGATGTCCACGCTCGCATCGGCTTCAGCAATATCCATTTCCCCATCTGCCGGGATACTTTCAGAAGCGGCGGTCTCTTCCGGAGCCGGAGGCGGAGCGACTGTGCCGACAGGAGTAGCTGTGGCCATGGCATCCGCAATGAACGATTCCTCGACGCCGGCTTTCCTGCGGAACACTCTGAGCCAGCGCTGGCCCCATTGCCGGATGATTTCATCCTCTGGCAAGTTTCCACTTCCATCTCCTCTTTCCATCTGCTCGTCGTTGCTTCCGCCGGCCACTGAGACGATGGAGTCTTCGATGACCCTGAAAAGAGATTGCATATCAACCCTCTCACGACTGAGCGTCTCATCGAGGACGCTGAGCTGCGGCTCGTAGAGACCTGGCTGAGTACGTGCGGCAACAATCTGGCGCAGGCGGTTGGTGACCTTTCCGACTGTGGCGGAGATCATCTCGAAAACGTGAGATTTGGCAAGGACGGTTCCTGCCTCTAGCTTGTCTACCAGTGCCCATTCAATGACTGACAGCGGGGTCAGAATGGTGTAGTTGAGAAGCTTGTCAATGATGTTGATTCCGACGCCAGGCTGATCAACCCAATACTCCATGACGGAGGTTATGATCTGACGCCTCGCCTGTGCAGATTGGGGCCCGATGGCCAGGAGTCGTTCCTTGTTCCGCTCAATGCAGGACAGTACATGAGACAGAGACTTGGAGCCAACAAAGCAGATAGCCGTAACAAAGGCGTCCGTTGAAGGCAGCAGCGGGTCTTCGACACCGAGAGATCTGGCTTGCTCTTCAATTGCGTTTATAAGTGGCTGGATCTCCTCATCGCTAGCCTTCTTGCGGACCAGCTGCATAATTTCTCTGCCTTCGTTGGCATACGGAGTAGCTGGACAAACACATTAGCCAATTGTCTTGAATCCGAGCCAAAGTCGAGTTGTTGAAGTAGTAACAGGAAAGAGTGGACGTGAGGCGAAGGGTAGAAAAACTTACTATCAGACGAGTACTTGAAATCAGGTGTGTCTTTCTCTTTCCCTTCCGTAATCAAGTCTTGGTATGGGTCAGGGAGAGTGCCCCTAATACGCTGTGCAAAGCTCAGCCGGATCTCCTTGTCGAGGGCACCATTGATAAAAGCCATCCTAGGGTGAACCAGAGGCAGCTCCAAGTCATCAATCCTAATGCGTGGTCAGCTGATCTGTACTGCGTCCTGTATGTGCATATGCCTTACCATTCACTCCATTTCCAAGTGAACCCAAAGTTGCTCAAGTGATGAGAGAACCAATCCAAGAAACGATGGCTTAGGTCCAAATCTATTGTCTCCAGGCTGCGATACAAGAAGCGAATGGCACGTCCTAAACTGGGTGCGATCGCGGCCGGGGCGATCTTACAGCACTCCGTGAGAACTGAGTGGTAGTAGACCAGTTTGTGCTCGGGAGACGGCAGCTGGAACAGTTGGGAGAACACGGCGTCCACAGCAACATCCTCTGGTTTCCAGAGATTGATGTCTCCTGGTAAATCACGCAGCCTATCGAAAGGAGTCGCTCGCTTCACGAAGGTGTGTGGCGTGAAATAGCAGTCGACATCAATCAAAAACTTCGCCGTCGCAATGCGGTTGAAATCAAGAATGTTGATGGTATCGACGAGGGCATCACGCAGCAAGGAAGATGCGATATCTGAAGTAGGAGGGACTGTTTCCATGTCTTGATTTGCGTACACGGAAAGGTACACCTCCGGAAAGATTGCTCTTGTTCCATTCTTCACCGGACTCGGAACAGTGATCTGGGGGAATGCATGCTTTGGGCCGTTTTCATAAGCCTTCGGCTCTGCGCCATTGTCCTGTGTCTCTTGCCCCTCTTGTGCTTCCTCGGGCTCTTGTGCATTTAGTGCCTCTAATGCTCCTCTCCATGGCCTAGGAAGACACGCGAGCTCCCAACCCCGGCCGGACTCTTTTTGTAACTGATTCTGGAGTAGGCTAATGACACTTGGCGTGGCAATTGACTTCCCATTCTCCAGGCCGAATGGATTAACCAGGTCCACAAGAGTATGTGGGGTGGAAGCGATGATGTCTGTCTTCTCCAGAAGTGCGGTGGCTTGGGACTCGAAACCGGCTGCTGGAGAGGCCATAACGTACGGAATGGTGAAGAGAATAATTTTCACCAGCTCCAGACCGATCAACTGTATGCGCATAGTTAGCAAACCTGCGATCCTTGAGAACTGTCGGGATACCGGCGTCGCTTACATCTTCCGAGGATGCTGTTTGAAGGTCGACAGCACGCGCAAAGAGCTCCTCCAGTATCGGGAAGATGCCATCCCCTTCGAAGACACATTGGAGACAACCCAGGAACCGCAGAAGAAGCTTGACCTCGCGCCACGCGCCAGCGTCAATGTACTTCTGCAAGCACACGCCTGACTTGTTGAGAACGTCGGACACGAGCTCGGATTTCTGGAAGTTTGCAATGAGGACGGTCGCGGCGATAAAAGGGATCTTTAGCGGCTGCTCCAAAACACTAGTATAATAGGAACACTATTAGCTCCAAGCTATGCGGGATTTCGAACAGGCCAAAAGGGGGACAGCCAAGTCAGTCAAGCCATACAGGTCAAGCGCAATATCGACAAACGAGTTCCTGAACTCCTGATCTTCGTAGTTGTCTGTTACACTTCTTGCGATGCTTACAGCGTCGTCTTCTGCTCGTCTGGCAGCCTAAAGAACGTTCGCAGTGAGCTACAGCACTTGTCTCACATATTCGGGCCATTGAAAAAGGGTATTCGTACAGATTCAGCGATCGTAAGCAGTTGCCTCCGGACCTTGACAACAAGCGGCTCCTCATAACGACGCCTCTGGCGGCGGTCATAGTCATCATCTTCTGCAGTATTCCAAGAAATTGTTAATGGTAAGTGGCCACGAGGGAGCTTCATCTATAAGCCATAACCAGAGTCTGGGGGGCATGGTGGCCATTGGCAAACAAGCAATTGAAGCCAAGGACTCGATCACAGCAGGATTGCGTATTTTACTGACCTCTGTAGCGCCTCTTGCGCCCACCACCCCTGGGGCCATGAGGCCGGCGTTCGTAGTCGGCCATCGCTAGCGGGCCTTACGTCCACACGAGCAGTCTTGCGCAACGACTGTCTCTAGATGATATTGGGAGCCAATTCAAGCTGTAGCCAGCACGGCTTCTAAGGACAGCGGCAGTGAGGAGCTCTTTAGCGGTATTGCCGTCGCGATAGGAAGGGCATGTGTCTAAGGAACAAAACATCACCAATAGTGCTCAGCTGCTGGTCGGGACTCGGGATCCTCCGTCCCGCTGATTATCTAACCATGTTCTTTCTCCTGCCTTCACAGCCAGCCAGAGCTCCAGTGGAGCCGGGGGAATTGCTGCGTGCAGGACCTGACTACTAGTACTTACTATACTTAACTACTTACTGCTCCATAAGAAGGTCCTAACTGTGTCGACTACGCCACAGCTACGGGGGGCAAAGGGGAGCTTGAATGGGAAGGAAGTCCCACAGCAACATTTGAAAACACAAAGTAATACCCATACGTGTATATGCTTCCCCAGTAAAACATAAGAGCAAACTTGTACCCATAGAAAACTGCAAGCATGCAAGCTAGAAGAAGTCAAGCAAAGGGAAAATACAGAATGCTGTGGTTATACACAGTTCGAGAACGAGAGTATCCAGGCAAAGTTCTTTGGGGCCTCTAAGATGAATGACTAGGAACAGCAGCAAGCAGGTAAATAGGTGAGTCGTCTGCTCTGGGAGGTTAGAGACAGGGACCAGATAGCTTCATGGCCGTCAATGCCAAGTGGACGAGGCTGAGAAGAGGAGAGAAAGGGGGAGTAGGCCGGAGAGGTGAGGTTAGAGGCGGAAGGGACCACAAGAAGATGAAAACGGAGACAAAGAGATATAGATTCACAGCAGAAACAGCATGAACGGGGCTTCTAGCGCGGCAAGTCGGGAAAGAAGACCTCCAATACCTATATTCAAGCACACTGACAGGCACGCGGTATGGCGCATCCAAACAAAGAAATCCTCAAAGATATCTGACGCATTTGTAGGATATTCATCTTTCCGCCCTTGTGGAATAAACTTGCGGCAATTTGTGAACAGAGCCCGTTCGATCGAGATATGAAGCTATGCAGACTTGATCCCGGAAGGCAGACTCACGCAATAAGGGTATCACTTTTTTCCCTCCCAAGAGCTGTCTCAGACACCTCAGTAACTCCAGGCTATACCATCGCGTCAACCCCTTTGCGTGAAACAGTCATGATCCACTAAAACCTCCCACTCTCAAAAACTTTTCTGGTCATCAAGAGTCACAATCTTCTCTGCGCCACCTACTCTCCCAGAGATCCATCCCCTCTCACACACGCACACTCCCTCTCTCTCTCAGTACAACCTCTTTCTTTTTCTTTTCGTTGTTTTTTTTCCTCTCGTTTTTTTTTTGATGGGGTATTTTCTTTCTCTTTTCTCTCTTCAACTTTCTTTCTCCTGCTCCTCATGCTCACGTTTCACCCTATCTTTCAGTATTCTGCCATACAGAAGCCAGCTCCCGGATGCCCCAGCCTATGGATTAGGTCTACAGATTTGAATAAACCTTTCCCAGTTCAAGAACCGCCTGATGAATGAAGATAAGCTCGTAGGGCATGACATCAAATTTCCGCAATCAGGTGCAAATATGTTTGCACACGTAAGGGCGTGTAGTTCGTCAGATTCGCGCGGTTTGACTCAGTCAAGACGCGCTATCATTTCTTCCTTCGTAAGAGGCTTGAAGTTGGTGATGTCTAACCCGCGAGCCTCAAGTGCAGGACGTGCATGAGGAGGAATCAGCCGGCTGTTCATCGCGGGCGCAATAGAGAGTTCTATGACAGTGTCAGGTCGTCAGTATGGGGGGCAGCCAAGAGCAAGGAGTTTTCAGGAAGACCGACCATGCCTGGAGAAATCGAACAGATTAGGGAGCTCCCTGGTAGAGCCGTTCGGGTGCCGCGAGTCGGGCAACCGGGTGTTAGGATCCCGAAGTTCGTCGAAGAATGGGTGGCACATCGCTTCAATTGCTGAAAGCCGTTGCGTCGGTGTGTATTCCAACAGGGCGGAGATCAAATCGATAGCCTCATGGGGGGCCCTCCGGAAGACCTGAAAGACATCAGCAATTTGCAGTCGAAATTATTTCCACGAACTGGTCCCACCTTATTGAAGGGGTGTGGCTTAATCTGCGGGAACTTGTGTTCCATGTAGTTCGGGTTCATGGTGCGAATCTGCTCCCGCGTCGGGGTGCCCAGAACCTTGATGATCTCCACAAGTTGGTCGATGCCGGATTCGCCTGGGAAGAGTGGTTGTCCTAGCATCAACTCGGCCATCACGCAACCAGTAGACCATACGTCTGATTTATATTAGTACATACGCAGAGCCCCTGGATTGAACTTGAGAGGAATTACCAATTTTCGTGGTGTAGTTTGTTGCGCCGAAAATCAACTCAGGTGCGCGGTAGTAGCGGGAGCAAATGTATGAAACATTAGGCTCATTCTCGACAAGAATCTTGGCGGATCCAAAGTCACACAGCTTCAGAATACCGGTGTTCGGGTCGAGCAGCAGGTTTTGTGGTTTTATGTCACGATGGCAGATTCCCTGCGAGTGAATGTAGGCCAGAGAACGGAAAAGTTGGTAGATGTAGAGCTTGACTTCCAGCATCGGCATGGTTGTCTTCAACTTATTGAAATAACGCGATGCCCGATACACCGTCTCTGGTACATATTCGAGGACGAGGTTCAAATACACTTCATCTTTCTATGGCATTTTTGTAGCATGGTCAGCAGACAAGTAGGTGGAACGACGAGTAAGATGGGATGCAGCATGAACTGTAGGGGTGGGAAGTAAGAGGAAGGCAAGCGGTGATTTAACGGAGAGCGACATACCCTTTCTCCGTTAGAGTAGTAAAATGCCTTAAGTTCTACGATATTCGGGTGGCGCACGATCCGCATGATCTGAAGTTCACGATTCTGGAGGGGCTGTTAGCGACCGGGTAGGCGATGACGAGCATTGGTGGCCTCGCATACTTTGAACCGTTTGTCCTGAAGAACCCTCTTGATAGCAGCATCTTCGCCGCTGGGCATCATCTTCGTTTGGAAGACGACGCCAAAGGATCCATTGCCAACGATTTTACATTGTGAATAGGAGATCTCCTTGGTCTCTCCTGTAAGTCCATCCTGGACTTTCTCGCGAACGACTTCTATATGAGCACGAACAAGGAAAAGGTTAGCAATCGAGTCCACCAGATGGGCTTAGCAACAATTGCGTTAAGAACGGCACGTCTCTTACCACCCATGCGCAGACTCGAGAAGACCCCAGGTCTATTCTGTGACATCACGGACGGCTAGTGGGGACAACACCGGGCGGCAACGTGGGCGATGCTATCGAGAATATGGAGGGCTGGACTTCAACAGCGGATGTCGGAAAGGGACGCAAAAGTAAGGCGTGAGGTCCGTTTTGGGCAGACTGTACTCGGTGGAGCACTAGTTGGGAGGGGTGCTCTGGATGGGCGGAATATCCGAACGGTGGATGTTGAGTGGAGGTGCGCGTGAGATGAAAGGTTGAGAAGCAGGCGGGCGAATCGTAGAAGGGAAGGCTCAGACCAAGGGGACCAATGGACTTGGGGAGCGTGCCAAGAGTTGCAGACACAAGACCTGAGCAATGAACGCCCCAAAGATTGAAGCGGGTTTCCTAGATGAGGGAGGGAGGGGGGGCGGTGGGTGGTGGAGGGGAGGAGGGTTTGGATAGAAGAGGGGACAAATGTTTCTCGAAGAGAAAAATGAAATAAAAAGGAAAAGAAAAAGAAAAAGGAAAAAGGAAAAGAGGAAAAAGTGAAGTTATGTGTGAGAAGAAACAGCAGCAGTAGCAAGTAGCAGTTTAGTAGTTTAAGAGTACCGAACCGCAGCTGATTCGAGGAGGGAGGAGGATTGTAAAGGGTAGGTATTGAATTTCACGCCTCAGCAAAAGTGTGGCAGTAGAATTTCAAGGAAAGGCGGGTAAAATAAGTAAGTGTAGGTAAGAGAAAGCTCAGGCTCTCAAAAGGGAGGGATGGTCGGTCGGAGGAGAAGGAAGAGGGAAGAGAGAATAGTAAGAGAGGAGAGACTTGAGCAGGTGACGTTGATGGAACGACGAAGCCCGAACACGCGAGGGCTGCAGGAACGCGGGAATAAAGCACCGGGAGGAGAGGAAGAAGGCAAGGAACACACGAGCCAACTCCGGGCAAATAAGAGATATCAGTAAGAATAGTAATGGACGTAGTTGACCAGGGAGGACAGTAGAAAAATAAAAAAGGGTAAAGGGGGGGAAATAGAGAGGGACTTTCGAAAAGTAATAATGCTAATAATGAAATCGATGAATCAGGAGCACACGGGCGCTTTTCTGACTCTTTGGAAGAAACCAATACCAAAAGGAGGGAGAAGATTACTAGCACCCGATCGAAAACCGGCCTGTCTCAATATGTGGTTAAGTTGTTACTGTTCTCTCCCTGTCTGTTACTAGTCCGTTAGGCCCCAGAAGGCAACGTTTGGGTTTGGCTTGGGGGAGGAGGAGGAGGGGGGAGGGGGCGGGAGTGGTTCAACTTACAGCAGCAGTAGCAGTAACTTTACCTTTCCCGGGTGAAAGCCTGGGTAACAACCGATGAGCACGGAGCTATGGCAGAGTGTGGAGAGGCAACAGAGATGTGGATGATGGCGGTTGGAATTATTGGTACAGAGAACCTGAGGGATTGCTGTTTATGGCCGCCGGCATAAGAATAACCATTCTCTACACAGTAGCGTTCGTCCTCGAGAAAAGATCGTTATTCCCGTTCGAATAATAAAAAGCCCCCCAGTTGGACTAATTATAAGGAGACCACTTATACCTATAGCCCACCAGCCTAGTTAAGAGTACCCCATATAAAGCTATGGGTATCTTAGCACTTTACTCCATTTCCTTTTTCTTTTATTTTAATTTGAACTGATTCTAATATTAATTATCTTATTTTTATTTTCCCATCTCATTACGGCAACTGGTAGCTAATGATGAAACTCCATAGGCATGAGGGTATATTGTGGGCTCGGCCCCGGAGGGGCAAGAAAATTAAATAGCTAGAATGAAAGAAAATGGAAAAGGGAAAAGAGAGAGAGAGAGAAGAGAGAGCGCGGCGTAGTGATTGGAAATAATGAGTCAGTATACGTATGTACTGATACCATACAATACCGGATCGGCCGCTCTCTCTGCCCCAGGTCTCTGCGTCTTGCTATGACGCTATTGCCCTTACCGGAAGCAAGGTACCTGGGTACCGCTAGTAGATAGGCGGTGGTGCTACTTCTGCCCATCTCAGACGATGCCGCTAAGATATGTCACTATATACACGGTTGATGAGGTTTTTCTACATATGATACTCCGTAATTACTTTTTATATCCTAGCTTCTGTACAGAAAAACTGTTTTGCACCGCTCCTCACCAACCAACACCCCCTCCTCTCAATCGGGATAGGAAAAAAACATCGATTGGTATCTGTCCCGCATCAAGAAAGAAAAAGGAGACATTTTTGGGTCCGCGGCTGGCGTCATTCCTAGACCGAATATGAAACGGAACGGTAGGCTCAGAAGTGTAGATAAAACATAAATACCATCAATCAGGTTACATCTGAAGGTAGAGTTGTAACTTGAGCAGATCAGTAGGTCGAAAATAATGATGACGGACTTTTTAAGGTGGAACCATCCAGATTGGGCGTAAGGTAGACAGCTGCTGCTGGGATTGAGAGAATGAGGGCCCATTCCTAATGGGCATATGACCTTGGCTCCGAACGCCTGGGTTCGAGATTTAACATTGATATTGTCGTCCAGTAATTATCTAGCTAGTGGTGCTTAAAATGGGGGGGCGTGATGCATCTCCATTCCCAGACACCCTTGGATCGCAGTAGTAATGTTTCCCGTTAGTTATGTTGGGTAGTTAACTCCTCCACCAATGCAAGCAGACCACGCTCGGGATCAATGGCCTTGATTCCTACCATTCCTGGCATCGCATTTACAGGGGGTGGGCTAGAACAAGACCAGCAAAACCAATTTCTTCCTTGTCCCTGCAGTAGAGAAAGGAGGGGTTGGTCAGGAGATCTCCGTAACTAACTAACTAGCAACCACGGCGGTACTTCTGAGTTTGTACGTAAGTGATGGAAGAGAAACCAACGCTCTTCTAGTGTTCGGTGACTCGCGCGCCTCAACAATCTTCCCCCCCTCTCCTGGGAAGGAGAATAACCCATATCGACCTTAGGGGCGTATCTAGTGTATCTTCAGACATCTCCGCTGAGCTCAATAGCTAGTTATAACTAGCTCTAGACTTTGGAGGGATCCAGGCCTTTCACTCAACCCATCTCATAACTTCTTCCCGCGGCCCGTCGAATGCCGATCGGGAAAGCCAAAGGCGAGCCACAGAAAAGGTGCCTGGATCACTAGTACCTCCCAACCATGTCATAGCCCGATGAAGATTTCAAGACATGGACAGTAAGAGGTAAGTAGTAAGAAGGTCGGGAGGTGGAAGGTCCACTGGGCGGTTCCGGTGACAGGCAGGGTAGTTCTGCCATCATGTGCTGCCATTGGCCCCTGGGTGTCAAGTGACCAGCCGCGATTTTCACTGGAAACCCGTTCATTGGCTAGCCGTACTATTGCATACGTATGGTAAATACAGATCAAGCCACCCAACCCAAGAAAAATGAACGGAAACCTTGGGTTAAGTACTCCGTACTAACTAAGTGCTGAGGCAAAATAGTGCGGAGGGAGGCGTGTGTATTCGGTCGCCGCATATCTGACCAGGATCTAGACTTCAACGTATTTCGGGCTGCCCACCAGGACCGGCTGCATATGTACTCTGACTCTTTACTCTTACTGAAGTTGGATTGGAGGTCGGCTTGGAATCCCGTCGGGAAGACTGGCCATAAGAAAATATTTCACCATGCGACTGTTATATCCGACGCCACAGGTACAGCAATAAAGGATGCTTGGGTCCTATGCCAATACTGCAATGACGTAGCAATAATCACCATCTCAATGCGGGATCATAAGGGCATCTTCTCTGACCAGGTTCGAAAATAGGCGAGCGCATAACGCATGTGTAGTGTTCAGAGTCTTGGTTTATCAGAGTAGAAAAAGTAAAAGTATACTGCAAAAACGATCTGGATGCATTGGGCGATGCCTTGCCCACGTGCATATTCGTGGCCCAAGCTCATCGTGTCCACGCTTGAGTTGACCAACCAATACTTGTAGCCGTTGAGCATTAGTAGTCATAGTATATCTACTACATCGTTGAGATTCGTACTTCCTGCAACCCCTCAACAAAAACGAAGTACTCCGTCGAGAAGTACTTCAATGTGTCTGTTCGTACCGCATGATGCAATTGCGCCCCCTCTGCATTCATCCGAACGGTCTCTTGTAAGCTCAGCTTTGCATGGGCATGTTGCTTAGCGGCAATAAACTCTCGTCGGGTTACAAATCTGTCGTATTGGAAGCGGATGACATATCACAAATTTACATCATCCACTCAAGCTCAGAAACAGAAGAGTCACGGGATGAGAACAGAGAGACGACGTATCTACTATCTACAGCCAACCCCACAATGACTAGGGTAAGCGCATATCGTACTAATTATTATCTAGTACTAGGAGCAGCTAATGTTAGGCTTCTTAATATAGTAGCAAGGGTCGTTGTAGTCCTGATAGTAAAGGCGATCATGTGAAGCTCATGTTTCACACGTTTAGCTGTCACCGGTAGCTCAAAGAGACAAATCCTCCGCCTTTTGGAGATTTGCTTATCCCTATTCACCCTTTTCCATCTTTCTCTGTTCTATGCCTCTTCATTAGACTTGGCATGCATGCACCTCGATCGTGTACGACCGTCCGACGTACATGAATTTTCATTCATCGGCTCAACATAACAGAAATACTCTGTGCCGTTTCCTAGCTCCCTTACCTCCCCTATCCTTGCAGATTGCTTCTTCAGAAACATGGAATTAAGTAGGTTGCTTATAAGACTCACGGAGGCATGTCACGATTGGACACGATTGGACATCTCTTGCATTTGTCTTCTGACTTGTGCCAATAGTAGCTTAGCTGTCACTGAACCTTGGGGCGCAAAAAGAGGAAGAACACCTACGGAGAAAACCGGCACGGAGATTATGCAAATCCCTTGCTGCGCGGACCTGCGAGCATATCAGCTACTACAGACAGTAAGTCTCAGCAGACCATGATCCCAGATAATACCATTTGAAAAGGCTCTGCTTAAGAATTGAGACCATGCCATTGTTGAACCATAATCTCCTTATTCGCCACCTCATCTACATCAAGTATTCAGACCACATGAGAGATTAATTGCAGCCACATACCAAGCTGAGACAGGGAAGGGCTTGAGAAATCTAATGCTCGGAAACGTTGGGGCAAGCCACTCGGAACTCATCCAGGCGTGTCGTCGAATTAAAGACGAGGTCAGAGTGTATATTGCATGTTGAAAAAGGGTAAAAAGAAAATGTCAATCATAATGACATTCAGCTCTTGCGTTCATGAGCTGTAAGAGAAGAATGGATGTAGAAGCAGGAGAGTAGAGTACTAGTCGAGCTATCGTAGCTGTCCTGCAAATCGAATTCGAGGCCAGGCACATTCGCTGGGTTCATTCATTCATCATTCTTCTTCTTTTTTTCGTTTTCTCTACTTATCTAGCTTCAAACATACATGGGTAGTTTATATGCGGGCTATAGTTCCGGTGACACTGCAGACCGTCTATACATCCCATTGAAGTTTGCTGGTGTGTGTGGATATAAGCTGAGCATGCACGTACTTGGGGCTAGGTACTCAATAGTAACATACATACCACATGTGAATTTATCTGCTGATGCTCGACTCCGGGACTCGAAATACAAATACAATACCTGGCATTCACACTAACAAGTATCATATTAGAAATGCCCCACATCGACTCAAATGGTACCTCAAAAGGGCCAGGCTGATTGATGCACATAAGAAATCCTCCTGTGTGCATTTGTGCGCTTGGCCAAGCGCACCACGGAAAGTGGCAGGCTGAGAGTCTGGAAGGGCTATGGCTCGACAAAATAATCGATAATTGTCTATAATGAGGCCTAGTTGAATCCACCAGCTCAAGAGTGGTTACAGTAAAGGGGTCAGGTGATTATTGAGAAAAGATACGACAATTGATCTACCAAACCATGACTTTGTGAATCTAGGTGCAGGCAGTGTTGTTCATATGCTTCGGATTAGGCTCTACTAGATACGCTCTCGTCCTGCTACTGTGCATACCTTTCCGACATACCATACCCACCAACAACCAGAGACAGCCAGCAGCAGCGGAGGAGAGGCAGGCAATAATACCATGGCTAACTGTTCCTACGAATCATGAAACATCATTAATATGTAGGGCTCTTCTTTAGGGCCATTGCAATCATGAGGTGGGTTACCTCATTCACTGATCCTTGGCTCTCGTTTTCAGAGTTTGGCCCGGTCGGCAGGCAGCCTAAAGGCATGCATGCTGCTTGGTTACTACGGATCGCCGGGGGGGCCACACAGCGTCAGCAGATCACACTCACTGGCTCAAGGTGGTCGTGACTTTTTTCTTTTTTCTTTCCCCCCCCCCCCCCCCCCTCTCTCCCGAGTTCCTCTCAGGTGACCGCAGCTTTGTTGTCTCGGTGAGGCAACTCATGCAACAACCATTGGCCACCAAATGAACAATTTTACCACTGCTTCAGACATCCCTCCATAGTTCATGATGCGATTTTCGTGAAACAGACTAGGGACCCTACTGGAACACAACTTATACCGAGCCTTTGATTAGTAGTTCCAACTCAACGATGGTTTATTTGATAATGGTGAGTAGGAAGCAGCATAGTAGAACGGCAGACCAGTGAAATGGATGACATCGATGGCTTAGTTCCCATCATAGTTGTTCCGGAAAGGAATGCTGCAAATTCTGCTTTATCTACTTTCTCGATCGTACTATGTAGGCTGAGGGCCCGTATGACCGCGACGTTGAAACCCCCAGCTACTAATGTAGATGTTGGTAGTACCATATCGCTCACAGCGTTGATATATCTGAATATTTGGTGTCCACCACTACGACTAATACATCCCTAAATGCTACCAAGGCTTGTTTCTCGGAAAAGACAACCCTGTATCTTGACACCATCTCTTCGGCAGGAGGGTCAAACAATTGTGCCTGCCTTAACCGAGATCAACAATATAACCAGCGCCGGCCCCCC